AAAAGATCCGTGTCCGAACCGAGGCTCGAACCCGGACTTTCCGCTGCAGAGACGAGCGCATTAACCACTCTGACTGCATCCATAAAAATACCTACTTTTATAAACGACGGCTACACTGACTTACCTCATTTTGTACTCCCCTGCTCTAAGGTGTGGTTGGCTCTGCTTTTCAATAACACATAAAGTTTCTTCATCGCTCCCTTTTTTCTTTGTACTTATGTTACTGTCTTAGTAATATCTCGCCCAATATATTTGGTATTTATGTGACCTACTTTGTCTCAGTATTAAAGGACCGTTATTGGGTTGGAAATGCCGTAAAAATCCCTCTCTAAAGCATGTTCTGTCTCACCAGGCTATCATGGCAAACTGCAACACGGTGGCGCTGTTCGCCAACACCTGTCAGAAGGCGGGGCTGGTACCCATCGCCTCGATCGAGTTGGATGCAGGCCACGACCACGATCTCCTCATGATCCGACTCGCTTTCGAGGAGGTCCTGGCATTTCTGATGAAAGCGATGACGGATCACCATGTCTATATAGAGGTATATTAATGAAGGAACATTATTGTCTTACACTGTGATAATTTAAAAGGCATGCAAAGAATATGAATAGTGTATGCGAATCTTTGTTTGTTTCTGATTTGTGTGTCATGTTTCGAAATGTTGCGAAGCATTGCTTGTGCTCTGCTGATTGGAAATAGATAATAATATTATGTGTCTTTATGTCCTTAGAGAGATGGATTCCGAGATTTCAGCTTCCGACTTTAAAAGGCTTTACTGTCAAAATGTCTTAACTTCGACCTAAAAGGTGTGCAATGAATGAAACTCAAACGTTCTCTATTTTGTTTTAATTCAGGGTTTGATTATCCGATTCAAAGCCCTAGTGGCAGCGCCTGTGAGGAACCGCTTAATGGGTGTGGCCGGTGCTACGGTACCGCCCTGGGCTCAGTCTGCTGGTCAGTCTCCTGCTCAGTCTGATGGTCAGTCTGAGGGTCAGTGTGCTGGTCCGAGGGGTGACCAGATGGTGTCCGAGCCAGTGCTCAACCCCAAGCTGGTCAGAGCGGCGAGGCGTGCTGGGTGTACTCTCAAGGCCATGAGGAGGTCTCTGCCGCCGGCTCTGGGTGGTGTGAGTATATAGGACGTGAAGTAATTGGTACACGAACTCTCTCTCTCTCTCTCTCTCTCTCT